GCTGTAATTCCTTCTAGTGCATTTTTTTTATTCCAGAAATTGTATTCTTCATTTCTTCCTGGTTCTTGTTTATAGTTTGTTTCCTTTTTCATGCTGTTGTAGTTCCCACTCAGTTCCTTGTAGTTGTCATTAAGTTCCTTTAGTGTTCCTGTAAAAATTCTTTTGAATTCTATGTTGATAGTATGCTTCCCTCCATTTCATCTAGCTCTTTTTTTTTAAGATTTAATTTTATTCATTTTTAGAGAGGCAAGGGAGGGAGAAAAAGAGAGAGAGAGAAACATCAATGTGCGGTTGCTGGGGTCATGGCCTGCAACCCAGGAATGTACCCTGACTGGGAATCAAACGTGCAACACTTTGGTTCACAGCCCGAGCTCAATCCACTGAGCTATGCCAGCCAGGGCTCATCTAGCTCTTTATTGGGGATTCTTCCATTCCTTTTGACTGGGGTTTCTTTCTTTGTCACCCCATTTTCAGTGACTCTTTCTTTTTTTTTTTTAGGTTTTTGTGTCTAGAATGCTCTGTTTTGCCTGCTATCTTAATGAGGCAGACTTCTGTGGTAGGAATTCTGTGGGACTCACTGGTGTGGTCTCTTTGATCTCCTTGTCTGGATGCTCTAGGGTTGCCTGTTCTTCTATTTGTGTGGACTCCCTTGTTGTACTTCGGCTTTACTTGTTGGTGGCTCCTTGGTTGGTGGAGTCTCCCCTCTATTGGTCTTACTGGTAGTCACAACCCCTGCCTTGTTTTGTATGCTGTTGTACAGGTGTTGGTTTACAAAGTAGTATTGCCGGACAGCCAAAGTTATGCCAGCAAAAAGAACCCCCTACCACAACAGCAATTTTGACTACACTTAAGCAAAAATTAATAAAGGTGAAGAGTGATTATGAATATTATAATATATGACAAAAGGAATAGAGATGACTAACACAGGGGAAAATATTATTCAGTAGTAAGAGGGAGGAGAATTGATAAGAGTAATGCTAGAACTGAGGTGAAGAAAGGGAGATAATCAAATTTAAAACATAAGTAACATGAAAGGGCAATGGGAACAATGGTGTAAGAAAAGGGAAGAGTATACTATGAAGTTTGAAGTAAAATTGAAAATGTATTGAACCCACAAAAGCAAAATTGCAAAAAAGCAGAGCAGGTTCAATAGCAACGACAGATGAGTGAAGTTTAAAAAGGTGGAATGGGGACAGGAATATTGTACAAAAGAGAAATAGAATATGAAATGTCTACCAGAAATAAACATGATTTTGAGAGGAATGTGGAAGCAAATTTTTAAGAGTAGGGAGCAAAGCCCAGGTTGAGAGAGGGGGGGAAAAAGAAATCAAATTCTCCACTCAACTGATAAGGGTCACAGGGAGGCACAATAGAGTAAGAAAATAGGAGAGTATGTTGTGGGATTTAAAATACAAACAAATAGTGAACAAATAGGCGTTCTGTAAGAAAACTACAGCAATGACCATCGTAGTTCACCAAACAAGCCACTGTTTATAAAAGATGGAAACAAAATAAGACTCTTTTAAGAGGGGATAAAGATTGTGAGCTGACTTAAGAAAGGGTACTTACGCAAGGTCAGATGGAGGAGAAATAGTGAGAGTAAGGGATAGGAACGTGACATGGTGTAAGAGAAAACAAAATTTACCACAACAGTAATAAAGTTCAGGAAGATGGTGAAATGAATTAGGAACAGGGAAGGGTGCTGTGTGGGATTTGAAATAGCAACAATATGATTATAAAAAATACATAATCTGAATAAAAAGTAAAAGACTGAGAGTAGTGAGTTATTTAGAATATAAGTGAAGTGAAAGAAAAAATTAAAATGCAATATAAAAGGGATAAAAACAAGACAAAACTAACAAGAAACAAAAAAACCTACAAAAATGAAAAGAAGAAAGAGAAATAAAAAATACAAGTTCTGATAAAGAGCAAGGTAAAATTTTTCTCAGCTATTGGTGTTTGCCTTCTGACTTCTTTCTGGATCTGTCTCTGGTTTTGTCTCAGCTCCAGGTCTTACTATCTTACTCTTGCAAGAAAAAAAAAAAAGCCTCCTGGTGTTGGCTGTTAAACCTGAACAGCTGGTTTTGTAGATCTTCCTGACTCTTGCAGACAGTGAGGTACTGGGCTCTGCTTTTCTGGTGGTTCCGTAAGGAAGTAGGCTCAGTCTTGGCTACTATAATCACAGGTGCCCATTTTCCAGCCCTTGCCCTCAGAGCACTATGTGGCCCACACTCCCTACTCTGCACAGTTGAACCAGGCTGACACTGATTAACCACCTCACTTTGTACCCCTTTGATTAATCCGTGAAGTACACTGAGTGGGAGCTAACTGTGCCCACAGTCCTCCCTCCTTGATGGCTGGGCAGCTACATGAGCAAGATCCCTGTCCAGTGCACCTCAGCTCTTCTTTTGAAAAAAGTCTCTTTGGGCTCTGCTGCCACTCAGAGCCACTGCCCAGCTTTCTACACCCTCCAATTCTCTGGGAAGTCCAGAGTCTACCTCAGACACTGCCAGTCACAGCCCACCCCTTCTCCTAACTCCAGGTGCCACCAGGATCCCCCAACTCTCTGGCATTCTCCTGGCCAGCAACTGCTGCCCCAAATTGGGTGTACCACCAACTTTGTGTGTCTCTGTTTGCCTTTTTTCCCTCCCAGCCTTTACGCATTCAAATCTCTCCTGGTGAGGGTCAGTGATTTGCTGGCCCTAGGAGAGGAGGGAGCCACTAGGCTGCTATCACTGACCCAGCTCTCCTCCAGTGTTTTCAAGGTGGCAGCTGTATTTTCTGGTGCCAAGTCCAGGGACTTTCTGTGTCTGGGGACTTCCCCTATGTGTCTACAAAACCTCATTACTGCCTGTTTTGAAGCATCCTCTGCACATTTTGGCTTCCAAACTTCATATCAGCTAAGATTCTGTTGGTTATTCACTTTGTCCTTCGGAAAATCAGCTAAGTGTCCCAGTTGAGTGCATGAGCAGGTAGGCTCAGCTCCCACCTACTTTGCTACCATCTTCTCTCTCCTTATGTTCTTATATTTTCAGTAGCTGAATGGTAAACAAATTGTGGGTATTTTACTCTAGATTATAGTTTAGAAAGGAAAATAAATGAATTACAGCTAGATACAACCACATGAGTCTTACAAAAACTTAGTGAAAAAAGTAATACAGACAGATCTGAGCAGATCACTGGTGAGAAGCAGGGAGGGGCCATAGGAGGAGGTTGCTCGAGGCAATGGTAAACAGCCTAGGATGGGATTGGCTGAGAAGCTGATTACCTCTGGAGCAGGTGGAATTATGGACCAGAAGATTAAAATAAACGGAGGGCAGAGACTGATTCTTGGGCTCTCTCCCTCAAGGGTGCCTGACTTATTGTGCTGCAGCTTTCTGCATTTCAAAGGATGGTATTTTGAATGGGAGAAGAAACTCTGGGTGCAGACTAGGATTGGGCTGGCCTGGCAAGGGTGGCAGGGTTATTTTTCTTTGGGTGTTCTAGAAGGGATGGGCTCTGATGCAGAAGCCTACCATTCCCCCCAAATTGTGTAGCTTTTGTATCTTATGTAGTTTTAGTTTGTAAACTAATCCTATAAAAATAAGATAAAAACTAACAGGGTAAATGATAGGGGAACTCAAGAGTTAAAGATTTTAACATTAATTGATATGCATGTGGAAAGCTATTGTTTCAAACGTGTGTGGGTTTTGAATAAGGACACCTTTATAACCATAACTTTGCCTCCAGAATTTTGCTTGAGGGTGGTGGTGTGCAGCAGGACCCCAATTGCTGTTCTGTAACAGAAGCAGAAAGAAAAGAATATACATTAGTTCAGGGTGTCGGAGCCACAGCTCACAGGCTGCATGCAACTTAGGATGGCCACGAATGCACCCCAACACAAAATCATAAATTTACTTTAATCATTAAGAGATTTTTTTTATGGTCAGGTGTTGTAAGGTATTTAATGTGTAGCCCAAGACAACTCTTCTTCTTCCCGTGTGGTACAGAAACATCAAAAGTTTAGACACCTCTGCTAGATGACTCCATTCACATAAGGTTCAAAAATAAGAAAACTCTGCCTAAATTTAGGGGTACATGCATAGGTGAAAAAATGCTAAAAAATCCATAATAAAAATAAAGGTATTAGTTATATTTTATGGGGGACACAGGCTGGGAAGTAGCACATGGGACTGTCTGGGTTACTATTACCTGACCTAAATGTGATGGTTATGTCAGTATTTGCTTTGAATAACTCATAAAGCTCTGTTTTAAATAGTTCACATGCAAAAAAAGAAGAGCCTTATATGATCATGGAGACAACACATGTTTTAAAAATCATATTAAGAAAATCTACACATCATTATAAACATGTATTTTTTTACTTTAACACATTTTAATTCCAATTAATCCAATTTGCAATAATCTGAAAATATGCATTAAGTGTAAACACCTCAGTTCTAAATTAGAAATGGTTTCTTACTCACTAGTAAAAGAAACAATACAACCTGACTTAAGGGTTAAGTATAACTGCCATGTATAACTGCCTCTTTCCCATGGCATGTCATCAGAGTGAGGAGGCCTTGTCTCTTTCCTACCAAGCAAGCATACTGTTCATATATACCTCCTCACACAAGCAGACTGAACATCCTCCTAGCTCATATTCTCAGCACCATGTGCAAGAATAAAGCCTTAATAGTAACATTAGAATTTTTGAAGTGTTGGGTTCATTCATTGGGCATGTGAGCTGACATTTTGTATGTATGTCTGCAAGCCTGCCCTCAATAATTATTATGAGCTTCACATAACAAGGCTATTTCATAGGGAATAAATCTGCTGAAAAAACATGTCATGCAAACCAAACAGCATAGGTTATTTGATCATATCCCCTTTTGTCATAATGGCATTTATTTGTAGTTTTATTATATATAATTAAGTAGATGTAGCAATATTTGGGCAATTTTAAATGAAGTCTGTAAGATTACTTACTTATCCTACATGTAATATAATTACTTTTTTAGGTAGTGTATTAAAGCAGGAGAACCAAGGGAACCTGAACTACTACATTCCCAGCAAGGACAATAGCTGGGCAAAGGTGACTAGAAACCATGCCTTTCTAACATCACATGTTAAGAGAGGACTAATGATGGGGGAAACATTTACTATTCAGGCATGTGTAATGGGAGCCTGATGTGGGAGCAAGGACTTTAGGTTACTTTTCAGACAAACTTGATTTTATTTTCTCCAATTTCTGCTCCCTAAATCTCATTATTAGTCCATGTCCATCAAGAAAATGAGGAAATAGAACTCCCTCTATCAGTTTCTTGATTATATATTCCACTTTTTTTCTCATTTCCCCCTCTGGGCCTTTTTTCCACCAACATTAACTTGGCGGCAGTTGGAAGAAGTGGAGGAGAGGCTGGCTCATCTGGGTTGGGGCTAGAGGGAAGGCTGCAATGGTCACTGTACCTTTTTGTTGTTTAAGGTGTTTGGTATTTTGGAGGAAGCTAAAGAGCAATTCAAATTAGAAGATTATTCCATCAGCCAGATAACACTGGAACAAGTCTTTCTGATTCTTGCTAACCTACAGAACACAGAAGGTGATTGAAGATGGTTCTAAAGCAAAGGTGACATGAGATTCAGTTCCCACCTCTGACCTATGGCCTCTTAGAGCACTCTCTACTACACCTGGATACATAGAGGGGCATTCCTGTGTGTGTGTATAACTTGGTGCAAATATATTTATGTAATAAACAGTTCCCCAAAGGAGACCACATGCCCCTTCTTTGTAGATTTACATGGGTGGCCTGTGTATCCAGCATGTGAAAACCTAGCCATTTGATGAAATTCATGTTTTCTCTCCTAGAAGTATGAAAAAGCAGCATTTATCAGGGTAGGAACAAGAAACTTTCCCTGAGTATTTCAAATGGTTAAACAGAAACATCCAGAAATAATGGAGCTGTGAGATGGGACAGCTTGAAAAGCATACAATTTATTTTTAGGTTTAATTATGGATAAGAGGATCATTAAGCCTGGAACAAATCATTTTTCCCATGGACACACATACACACATCAGATTTATACCCAAAATAATCTGATTAAAATCAGTATCAAAGTTCAAGGGGTAATTTGGGTTATTTCTAAAACTCAACCAGTATTTTACAGTTGTAAGATAATGTTTGCACCAAGAACATTTAGAGTCCAACAACATACAGTAAAAACACTCTCTGAAAATAAAATGTTCTCCTTCCTATTCTTGCCCAATTCTGATTAAGAAAGAAATAAAGAAATGAGGTAGAGAGAAAAGAAGACAGAGAGCTCTTCTGATTCTTGTTTGGGCAGCTGGAGTCCCCCAAGAGCAACAGAAATCAAACTAACCAGGCAACATGGGGTCAGGTCACTTGCTACATATACATAACACAAAGATTTGTGTGAAAGGTAATTGGTTTTTATTAAGAGGGTTCCCAGTCTGAGGTGGCTGGGAGCATTCTTGTTCTGAACCCTTCTTTTCTGCAAGATATAGAACCTCCCTTGCTCCTCAAAAGATTGCAAACCAAAGCCACACCCAGAAGTTCCCCATTATTGCTTATCTGTCCTTTTTTGGAGCTTAAACCAGCCATGCAAAAAGGTCTCCATCCTCTCTGTGGTATGCACTTGTGGGTTTTAGAGTTGCCATTGTTTCACAGCAGCTCTCTCTCAGGGTCTGGGGTATGCAGCCAGATTACTCCAAAATGTCATGTAGGGGAACTTCCCAGCTCATGCCTCCTGTGCTCTATCTCCATGTGCTACTCTCAGGGAGACAGGAAGAAGTCCAGGATCCATGTTGTAGCATCCAGCAAACTCGAGAACAAATATCGGAGACTTTCAGGGTATCAAAGATGTTACTTTATTGGCCAAGTTTAACCTGCACAGGGGCGAACTCTTAAAGTGTCCAGCGACACAGTGCCCACAAGGAGCTGCAAACGAGAGCCGCGCCGAGCGCTAACAACTACGTTCTTATATATGGGCGGGCAAGCAAGCGTTATACAGAAGCAGACGTGGCAGTTAGTAATTCGCTTACAAAGACCACGCGCGGGAATTTCAAACCAAGCATTCTTTCATAAGGTGGGAAAGCAGGATGTTTGTTCATTAACCTAGTAATCTCCTGGCTCTAGCTAGCTAGTTTTCTATTTTCTCATTAAAAACTACAAAGCACTGCTTATCTAGCCTACCCAGGGGAGAGCGTCTGCTAGACACAGGATGTTTGCTTTAACTGTACTTTGTCTCTTTTATCATTTCTTTTTAGCTACAATGTGGTTCTTGTCTATTAAGGTTAAATTTAGTTCTTAATTTCCTTGTTCCCAACACATGTGCCATGCTACAATGCGTGGAAGAGTCCCAAAAGCACAAATGGGAGCCCAGTGAGGCACACATCCCAGCATGGGACCCTGCCTCCCGGAATCTGGCTTCCAATCATGCAGGACCTAAGTCCCAGGTCGCCTGGCATCTACCAGTCCCAGGAGTGCTTCAGTCCATTCAGGGCAAAGCAAGAGCCCAAAAAGCCAAGAGTGCAAGAGACCCTGAGCCAAGAGCAAGCTTCTGCCTACCTTCTGTTTACAAGTCCTCTCCCAGAATCCCATGCAGGAGGGGATATCCGTGTCCACCATTTTTGTCAGCTCCCCAGTGTCTTTGACCCCCTTCTGGCTGCCATTTTCCACAAAGAGGCAGAAGTTTTCAGACAAGCAGCCTGTTTGCCTAAGAAGGGGGATCGGGCCCCCACAGCTCACCCAGATGCTCTGTGAGTCTCCCTCCCACAACCCCCATCCCCCCCAGCCACCCCAGCTATGTCATCAGCATTTGCACAACCACATGGCCTTTGTTTATAGTTTGTAGTTTGGCTCTAGGGTATAAGAAGGCTGTCACTAGTTTTCAGCCCCAGTGTCAATTCAGGAAGCCTCCGCAGGTTCCCTCCAGGCTCCCAGGGATTTCTGACCAGACCTATCCTGTTACATAATCACTCTTCCAAATTATGGGCAAGTGAGCAGACAAGTGGTGTCATAGGTGGGCACAGTGACCAGCTTCTTTGTGATCATGGACAAAGAACTGATCCGAACATACAGAGTTTATAGCAGAGAAAGTAGATTTATTAAGCAATAGTATACTCCACAAAACATGGGAGCAGGCCCTCTCAGAGCAGAGATTGACCTCAGGTGATGGAGGGATTCTATTCTTATCGAACAGACATTTCCTGGCTAGTTTTGGTGGGCATGTACAAGTAATTGTATTACTTTAAAGCTACTGCACATGTGGTCTCCCATGATTTTCCTTATTGGCCACCGGAGAATGGGGTCGCACAATGTTAATTTATTATAATACTATTTATAATGAAGCAGGAGTCATGTCGCATCTTCTGCACAGGTGCATTCATGAGTCATCATGATTCAGGGCTTTTCCAGAAAGCAAGAACAACAGGTCTTAGAACAGGGTCTCTGTGCTGTAACAATGTCATTTATCTTAGCCCTGGGGCACCTCCAGAATTTCCTCCTTCCTATCTCCAGACTTAGTAGAATAAGCCTTGATGAATTGCAAGATGAAAAGAGTCTTTGTAGCTGCTGTATTTTGGGATGGTTTGCTCAAGGTTTTTATAGTCTCAGTCGGATACTGCAAGATGACATCCAGAAGCTGTTCTCTGTTCTATTGTTTTTAGCTGTACTATAACTTCCTATGAATTCCACTCCCACATCTACCACAGATCAACAAGTGATTTCAGTAACTGGAAAAATTTGTTCCCAAGGTTGGTCATCTAAAGGGAGAGGTAAGTTATTTTACTAAACTTTTGCATCTAGTCTCCCAGTAGCCTTCATCAATGACCCTTTCAAATATTCAATTACTCTGCCAGTCTCTTTCACCGTTCCTCTCTATCCCCCAACTCACCTCTTCACCTTCCAGCAAGAAGCAAAAAAAAAAAAAAAATGCATCAGGTCCTCTATTGAACACTTGAACAATAACAGGTAGAGAATGCTCACGACTACCCTAAGGCTGAGGGAAATCACTTCAGGAAGAAACAAATCTGAAGAGGAGGTGTAGTTTTGGCTCATTAGATTGGCCCTAGGCCAATATGTTTGCTGTTTTACACCTGTCAGCCTGCAGGAATACTCCCAGATTGTAGGCTGCCTAGGCTGAACCTCAGGAAGCTATGGTGTAGCCTGGCAAACAGAAAACACTTTTCTAGGATGGTTGGCAGGCTGGTGCCAAGCAGAGGCATCTACATGAATCACTGGGAAGCCACACTAACGCGGGCGGTGAGTGCCGCGAATTGTCCCCACACTAGCTGCAAGAACGTTAAAACACCTTAAGCCTCAATGGAAGCCTTTGTCCAGTCATGCTCCTCAATGGCCCTCTTCTGTCAAAGCCTGACCTGCTGGTCCAGGAGCCCAGTTCTTGGCGCAGACAGTGAATCACTTGATACCGGAAGAGCAGGGTCGGAATTTGGAACTTGTAATTCCAAACGTTAGGCTCCACAGCAGATGACTGTGGGGGTGGGGTCAACCCAGAGAAACATATGCGGGTTTAGGGAGCAGGAGAAAGGGTTGCAGATCTGCGAAGCTTGCGCGAAGACGCAGGTGGGGGCTTCCAAAAGTTGGTGGTCGGGCACAGGCCAGACGCGGGGAATGTGGTGAAGGGGGAGGAGTGGGGAGCGGTGCGCCGGGAATGACCGGTCTCGTGGGCCACCCACGTTAGGCGGCGAGGGGATCTGCCGGACAATGCACTGCGCCCCTGAAAGTTCTGCTAACCCCATAGACCCCCCAGAGTCTCCTACCTAAAGGTCCTGCTTCTTGTGCAGGGCCCACAGAGGAAACCACGATGCGTGAGGGGGAGGAGAGCCCCAATAAATGGGGAAGAGGTGGCGGGTGCCGGGTGCCTACGCTTCCAGGGAATCACGGTGGAGTTTCCAACTTGCTCTGGGGACACAGCCGGGGATCTCTGCCGGGAGGGGTCGCGTACTGGGACTGCAGAGAGGAGGGGGCACTTGTTAGTAGCAGGCTCGTGCCACAAAAGGTGTGCGCTGTGCGCGAGGAGGGGGCTCGTGCCTGGATAGGAAGCGTGCTGGGTGGGGGGCACTTTTTGGGAGGGCGCGAGGTGGAACAGAGGGAGTGCCTGAGGGAGAGGGGTCGTGTATTGGGAGGGGCAGAGCGGAGGGAGAGCAGAGGAGGGGGTACAGAGAAAGCGGTGCGTGCTGGGGGGTGCTGAGCAGAGGGGTTGGGTGCAGGGACTGGGCACGTGTTGGTGCGTGGTGGTGCGTGCTGTGGCAGGCTCCAGTGCAAGAGGACGGTGGTATCCAGGAGACTGAAGCCGCTCTCAGCTCGGTGCGGTTGTAGAGGGCGTTGGGAGGAACTGCGCGCGCCTCAGGGGCTGAGGCAGTTGTGAAGTCTGAGGGGTGAGTGTCAAGATTCCCCACCCTTGGCTCCTCCCCTGAATTCCCTGCTCCAGCGACTGCGTGTGGGACCTCTCAGAGGCTGCCTCCTTGTTTGCCCTTAGAGCAAAGACCCTTGCTCCCACCGCCAAAAACACCCAAGCACGGTAACCTCCACAAACATCTCTTTCCCCTCGGAAATAAAACCCAATATA